ATGTGCATCACCCGATCTACTTTTGAAACATCTAGATGAAACATTTGGAACATACGTTTGTAGACAAATGAAGCACTTAAAACATGCGTCTAAAACACTTACAAAAACACCTAAAAACACATGAAAAGCCATTGCAAAACATATGCAACATCAAGATAAGACACTTGAAAACATATGTATGAAACATATGCAACATCTAAATAAATGCACTTGCAACATACGTCTGAAAAAATAGATGAAGCCTTTGGGACATACACTTGCAACATATATATGTTTCTAGCCATTGCAACATGTGCAACATCCCGATCTACTTTTGCAATATCCAGATGAAACACATGCAACATCTAGATAAACACATGAAACACTTAAAACATTTGCCTGAAACATGCGCTTTTAGCATAATGTTACCTTGCAGCTTGGAGGAATGGAGGCTCATCATTGCGGAGCTCGATGCTGGCACGGAGGTTAGCGTCGGCACATGGAGCTTGTCGGTGCGGCAACGTCACAGCAACTCACCAGCGGGGCGACGTCACACGAAGCTCCTCCATCGTCCAGGGGAACGGCGGCATCAGCGACACCTCGACGTGGCGGGGGACGGGGCACGACGCACAATGGCGAGGGATGGAGCACGTCACATAGGTGCGGGAAATAGGGGCGCCACACGGCAGCGAGATGGCTTGGGGCGGGCGGATGGCATGAGCCACGACGAGCGAAGCGAGTGGGGAGTTGGGAATTTCTCGGCTATTGCAGTGTAGAGATGGAGGAGAGAGAGCGTAGATGGAACATGCTCGTTGCTTGTTGGTTGTTGGGCCAGGTCGCTGCGCAGGCTCAAAAATAGGGCGTTCGGTCGGACACGCCTGGACGGTCGCCCTGACCATAGCATTAGCATTATAATTGTCTGGTGTGTTATAATAATAACTTTCGGGTATGGTATTTAGCTGGCAGTGACACAACAATTCAATACCAGGTTTGCAATGATCCGACAATGGTGCCATGAGTGTCATATCCGGGTTGGAGCATGAACCAATAGTGATACTCATGATCGAAATCAATGCTTTGACCCGGCAGTGATAGTGTTTTATTACTGCCGGTTCGGCAAACCGGCAGTGATAGACCTCCCCATCACTGCTGATTATCATCTGCTATCAATAATTTTGATCTGGTAGCGATTGCCAATTCTAACATAGTAGTGTACAAAGTACGAACATCTTGTGAAGGATCTTCCTGTTGGAGCACAACGCACTTCAGAGCTCAGATCACGCCGGCGAAACGATGGTGATCGCGGCGAGTCTAACCTAGCAGATATAACAGACAAGAGGATATGGCGCTGCCAACATCGCTGCTTTTCCCGGTCTTTGTTCCTTGTTATTTATACACAAGTCTCGCGATCTTAACAACCGCGACGCCCTCCCGTGCCATGTCGTGCAAAGAACGCAAACCGTTAGAGGCGGTGCGCGCTACGTGCGCCCGGCATGCCATGGCGTGGTGACTGACCAACAACGGGCTAGACCGTGATCATGCACGCCTACGATCACGCCCATCCCCTACTCGACTATTACAGACTCCAACTGATACGAGATTACATTTATTTGTGCATCAATTTAGCTAACAAATCACCCCCTAAACTTGATGCACACTGACGACACCTAATGCACTCCTGAACTCCATGAACTTCACTCGTCCCAGCGACTTGGTGAAGATGTCGGTGACCTGATCTCCTATCCCGACGTGTTCAACCTCCACCTTGCCTTCCTCGATGCACTGACAAAGAAAATGATACTTAGTATCAATGTGCTTGCTTCGGTCATGATGCACCGGATTCTCATTGAAGTGCTATTGCGTATATATTATCCATGTGCGGCTTCACCATCGCTCTCCCTCTCCCAAAGATATCTCGCAATCACAAGCTAAGCCATATGCCACGACAAGTTAGCCGCCGCCCGCCGCCACATACTCCGCTTCACAGAAGACAAGGCAACGATCCTTTGCTTCGTGGACGCCTGAGTAACAAGATCGCTCTCGAGGAAATAGCCAACACCCGTAGTGCTCTTCCTATCCTCGATATCTCCCAAAGAAAGTCACTGTCGTTGTACCCAATTAGAATTGGTTTCAGCTCAGCTCCCCTCTCATACTTGCAGCCATACCCCATGGTACCCTTGAGATACCTCGTAATGTGTTTTACAATGCCCAATGTTCTTTGCCCGGCGCCTCCATGTATCTCGCTCACAACACCGACTAAAAATGCCAAATCAAGTCGAGTGTTAACGAGATATACCTCAGTGCCGATTATACTCCTATATCCCGTGAGGATCCATTGCCTCTCCATTCTTGACTTGCTCTGGTTTGATCGACATTCCATTGGAGTATCACATGAGTTGCGGTTCCCCATTCCAACCACTTCTAGTATCTTTGTTTGCATAGGAACTCCGACACAGAGTGATGCCATTTGCATCCCGCTTAACCTCTATGCCTGTGTAATAGCTTAAGAGCCCCAAGTCACTCATGCTAAACTTCTTCTTCATCTCGGACTTGAAATTCTTGATGTCTTTCACATCTGGTCCAGAGATGATCAAATCATCGACATAAACCCCCACAAGCGTAAAAAAAGAGTTCTTTTGTTTCTTCTTCAGAAAAGCGTGATCCAACTTGCTCCTCGACAAACCCAAGAGCCACGAGTTCACGGTCAAGTTTTACATTCCACGCCTGTGGTGCCTCGCTTCAAACCGTAGAGTGCCTTTTTCAACTTGAGCACCTTATCTCCATTGCCGACTACAAAACTCGGAGGTCATTGCACGTCTACGGTTTCAGAGAGATCACCATTCAAAAAAGTTGATTTTACGTCCATATGATGAACCTCCCATCCACCTTGAGCTGCAAGTACCAACAACACCCGTACAGTTTCAATTCTGGCCACCGGAGCGAAAACCTCATCAAAATCCACTCCAAAACGCTGAGCATATCCTTTAGCAACTAGGTGTGCTTTATACTTGACCACATTCCCCTCAGGATCTTTCTTGACCTTGAAAACCCATTTCAGGCCAATCGCTTTGTGTTTGGGTGGCAACACACTGACATCCCAAGTTCGGTTAGCCTCAATCGCTTGCATTTCTGCCCGCATGGCTTTCCTCCAGCACTCCTCCGACATTGCCTCTTGTACTGATCTTGGTTCCTCAGCAACAACAAGGCAGAGTCCACTGTATTCAAAATCCTGAATTTCTTCAGTATCATCCAGCAGATCAGCGATCGTTCTGTACCGGAGTGGATCACCTTCTGAATCCACGGACTGACCAGTGGGTGGCGTGGCCCACTGTATCAATGGTGTACCCGAATTGGAGTTAGGAGTCCCAGGTGGTGTGTTTGATGCACCCCCCTGCTGATGGAATTGACGCAGCAGGCAAAACCAGCTCGAAATCGGGCACAACAGCTTCCTCAGATCCCGTTGCCAGACCAGGAACAGTATCAGTGTCATCCCACTGAACCTGAAACGTATCAGTTTTCTCCGCTGCCTCTTTCGCCTTGCTGTCTTCTTTCCCTTCCCAATTCCATGGCTTTTTCTCATCAAAGATCACATCACGAGTCACCATGAGCTTGTTCTTCACTGGATCATAAATACGATAACCTTTTGTCCCCGGCTCATAGCCAAAGAACACATCTGGTGTTGATCTGTCAGTTAATTTGCTTATTCTCAAGCCGACCTTCTTTGCGTAAGCAACACAGCCAAACGTCCTCAAATGCTTGATCCCGGGTTTTCTGCCAAACCAAGCCTCATAAGGAGTCATACCGCTCAAACTCATAGTCAGAGAGCGATTGAGAATATATACTACTGTTTTCACAGCCTCCCCCAAGAACCGGGGTGGTACTCCCATACTCTTCAGTAAACACCTTGCCATCTCCACTATCGTCTGATTCCTCCATTCCACAACACCATTCTGTTGCAAAGTATAGGGCGTAGTTGTGTTGTGCTTGATGCCATGCTCACTGCAGAACACCACAAACGCCCCGAAGTTGAACTCGCCACCGCGGTCCGTTCTGAGCGCCTTCAGGCGACGGCCTAACTCCAATTCAGCCGCTGCCCAGAACCTTTTGAAACATGCCAGCGCTTCATCTTTTCCCGCCAGCAATTCCAGCCACATATAGCGGCTGTGATCATCAACCACGATCATGAAATAGGACTTGCCTCCAGGTGTGATTGGCGTGATCGGGCCACAGAGATCCGTGTGCACCAGCTCGAGTCCAACAGACGCACGCCATGGTGAAGCTTGAGGAAATGGCGCACGGTGCTGCTTTCCAAGGGCGCAACCATCGCACACTTGTTCCACCTTCTTGATCAACGGCAGTCCCTCTACCATCTCCTTGACACCGAGTTCACGCAGGGCCCTGAAATTCAAATGACCGTACCGTGCATGCCAGCGCCAGGCCTCCTCCTCCATCTTGGTCAGTAGGCAAACAAGTGATGACAGATTCACCTTCATCAGGTACAAGCGACTCTTTCTTTCTGCTCTAATCACAACACCTCTTGCCACACCCGGTTGCTTCAACTCGAGCACCACCAGAACACTCTTGTCGATCTCAACACGGCATCCTGCTTCTTCAAGTTGACCAAGACTGACAATATTACATTTCAGAGAGGGGATGAAATAAACCTCGGTGAGGACGTGATGCTCCTAATTTCTGCCGGCCATTGTGACTGCGCCAACCCTGCAGATCTCCACGGTCGAGCCATCGCCGAACCTCACAGCGCCACGCACGGACTCATCCAGGCTTGAGTGAGGACCGACAGTCTGTCATGTGATTTGTCGCCCCTGTGTCAAGTATCCATGCTCCATCATCATACTTCTCTGGGAGCACACGTTCCTGATTCAAGAACAAGCCTTGGGCAGATGATTTCGGTGTGCGCACGATGTTGCACACCTGTGCCACCAAGAGCGCTGGTTTCGCCTCCGTGTCAGCAGCGACATGGTGCGTGGCATCTTCATGCTCCTCCTTCCTAGCCTTCTTGTTCAGGCATTCCTTGCCCCAGTGCCCGTAGACACCACACTTCCGGCACCTGCCCTTCGACGTGAGACCACCTCCGGACTCGCGCGTGTCATGGCCATGCTGCCGCCACCAGACGAGACACCACGACCTCCAGATTGATCTTTCTTAATGTATTTTCCGCCGCCTTTTCCGCCACCAGAGGATGACTCTGCATTCACCATGCGACTCTTGTTCCTGGCCATCCATTCTTCCTCCGTGAGCAGAAGACGGCCCGCCTTGTCCGTCACTTGTTCGACCGTGGGCTCGAACCAAGCCTCCGCCGCCCTGAGACGGCCAACAAGTTCCTCGATGGACAGGGTCTTCACGTCGCAGAACATCTCGATCGCCACCGCCACCTGATTGTAGCGTGGCGGCACGACCCTCAAGAACTTCTTCACCACTCGCGCATCATCAACGCTTGTCTCGCCAAGACCGCGCAGATCCGACGCGAGTTTGGTGATCCTCATGGCGAATTCTTCAATCGTCTCGCTGGTCTTGAAGGATATCGCTTCGAAATCGCTCAACAACTTCTGCGCAGTCACCTCCTTGACCCGATCTGCTCCGAGATGCATCGTCTTCAGCGACTCCCACGCCTCCTTTGCTGACTTTTTGTTCAGCAACATGGCGTGCATGTCCTCCGGAACACCCCTCAGCATGGCACCCACGGCGAGCCGATCATGCCTCCGCTCCACCTTATCAGACTCTATTGCATCCCAGAGATAGATTCCTTCGAGATTGCATTGAACGTGGGCTGACCACGATTGGTAATTAGTGCGTGTTAACATCGGCCATACCAGATTGCCTGCGGCCTGATTCCACGCACGCTGCATCACCTCCTTGTCGGCTCCACTTGACTTCGGCGAGTTCAGCGCCATGGCAACGACGACGTTCACGTCTCCTTCTTCTTGGTTCGGTTGGCTTCAACCACCCAGCACCTCGCAGGGCTCCTCCCCGCCACCAAACGGCTCCTCCCCGGCTCCCCTTTGGCTTCGATACCAATTGTTGGAGCACAACGCACTTCAAAGCTCGGATCGCGCCGGCGAAACGATGGTGATCGCGGCGAGTCTAACCTAGCAGATATAACAGACAAGAGGATATGGCGCTGCCAACATCGCTGCTTTTCCCGGTCTTTGTTCCTTGTTATTTATACACAAGTCTCGCGATCTTAACAACCGCGACGCCCTCCCGTGCCATGTCGTGCAAAGAACGCAACACCGTTAGAGGCGGTGCGCGCTACGTGCGCCCGGCACGCCACGGCGTGGTGACTGACCGACAACGGGCTGGACCGTGATCATGCACGCCTACGAGCACGCCCATCCCCTACTCGACTATTACAGACTCCAACTGATACGAGATTACATTTATTTGTGCATCAATTTAGCTAACACTTCCGACACTTATGCTCAAATAAGTTCATATACATCTGAAATCAGTGTCTGTAGTCAAAGGGCTCACAAGAGGGAGCTTCCATTCTACTATTTCTATACAAATGTCTGAGTCTGTATATGGCCATGCATGAACATTATTGGCCAGGCATCAATAATATCGACGGCAATCGCCCAGGCGCGCAAAGTGCATTTCTTTATCCTCCTTGATCCAATCCAGGAACGAACCCTGCAGCCTGCTAGGCGTGTGTGCGAGCCACGCTCTCAGGAAGTCAGCGACCACCTGTGTCCTCTCCCGCTTCGTGTCCACCGCTCTACTACTAGTGCTATTCTGCCGGCCTCTTCGCGTGCTTCGCCGCAGGGCTGTGCCTGCTCTACCGACCAGCAGATACGCAGCACCGTGCGTAGTCTTCCAAAGCATCTGATACACCGTAGCCTGGGTACTTAGGGAAAGGCAATCCGTCGCCGTCGGGAACATTATATTTTCCAGCTGTTCAACGTTAATCACTTGTGCTGCCGCCGATGAACTCGCAGTCCCAGATGCCGGCACCTGCTTACTGTCTTCTGGTGAGCAGTGGGGCGAGAAGAGGACCCCGTGCTTCATGACGGCTGATCTGTTCCAGTTCCTGCTGCAATGATCAGAGTCAGACACGACTACGTGGTGCTGCAAGTACACTTGGATGACCTTATCCAGACAAGTATGGTGGTGCAGCTTCGATGTGCTCTCGTCGCCACTGTCTCTGCCTGATCCAGGACTATTGCTTTGGCGGTGCTTGTTGTGGAGCTTGCAGCACTCTGGGTTCGGGCGAAACCATTGCGTCAAGAGCCCGTGGATCTTGTGCCAGTGCTGCTTACTGTTGGAGTCAGCATACGGCACCCACCGGAAGTCCTGTGTGGCTAGCTGCGTGAGCTCTCCCCTGGCTGCGTCCACCGCACGCTTGGCGTGATCAGCGGTGAACAGCTCCAAGCTCTTAACTGCAGTGCCTACTATGTCGGTACTCTCTGAAAGCTGCAGCATCACACCTAGGACAAAGTTCTCCACTACTGAGCTGGCATCTTTGTGGATGAGGAGGAGCCTGGCCTCAACACCGTGCTCAATGCTGCTGCTGAAGGGCCGTATCAGGATCAGGAAATGACGACTGTCTCCTCTGTCGATCCTGTGCTCAAGCTTTCTGCCAGCAAAGAGGTGTCTGATAAGAGGGTCAAAGAACATGTATTGGCATGGGGTGCCACCAAACTCGACAAACCTCAAAAACTCGCTGGCACCGTCTGCAAACCGCTCGAATCTCCGAACAATGGAGGCAGAGGCACTCGAGCTACCGGTTTGGTCGTGGCTAAAGAGTGATATGATTGACCTGCCAGCACGAGCAACCCGCTTAGCAAAGGTGTAAGCTCTTGCCCCAGGTTCTGTCGTCCTTTCTTCCTCTTGTTCTTGTACAATCCGGCGCTTGCATTCACGCAGCGTGGCATCGCACTCTTGAGAAACACGCTTCAGCTTCTTCTGCCAATACTGTAGCGCTGTTGCGTCAGTGATCTGCCACTTGTAAGATAGCTCAAGTGCAGCCTCCAACTTGATTTGCGCCATCTCTAGCCTCTCTATGTGTTCCTTGTCTTTTGAGTGTTCCTTGTACGTAGTTCTGAAAAACACTTGATAGCATCTGGGTAACTGTCTCCTGGACAACCGCTGTCCTCAACATATCCGCCATTAGGATTAATTAACAAGTCCACACTCCACAACCAATCCTTCTGCAAGGGCTATCTAGTAATTTTTAAGAGAGATAAATGTTAGAAATTCAAGGATACACATAGGGCTAATAGAGTAATCAAAATTCAAGTATGAACAATGAGATGAATGACAAGGCATGACATTTCTTTTCTTTTTTCTATTTCCTACTGTCTTTTTGTTTTTTTTATGTAAGTGGAGCATGGTTTTCACAACCTCTCCGCGTCGCCTCCCTGGGCGATGGGAGGAGCGAGCCCACCCTGACTGCCCAGCCCCGGCCGCCATCTCAACCATCCAGTGCGCGGCGGCGGCACCAAAAATCAGGCCCGTGCGTAAATTTGGACACCGTACCATACGAAATGGAAGGGCATATCCACCATACACTCTAACAGTGAATACTCACAAAGCAAAGAGTTAAGTTGTTGCGGTGAACAATCTCGGACTGGGGGCGGAAATAGCTAAACATCAAACTGCATGTTTCCCTCTGAAATCAAAGCCATGCATGAAACCGGCCGGCTCTTGAAGACTCCTCTTACTTGCTCCTTCAACCCAGTCCTAAAACAAATTAACTCATAGAGTTGTCCTAAGACAAAACTATTTTTTTTTCTAACTTTATTAATAAGAGTATTAACATCTATGACACAAAATAAGTAGACTATAAAAATGCACCCTCTGTTTAAAATTCTAAGACATTGTCTTTTTCCAAATATATTGCTTTTACTAAGTACCTACATATAGTGTATATCTAAGTGCATATCAAATGCTATGTACCCAGAAAGATCGAAATGTCGTAAAAACGGAAGAAGTACATATTATAACGTAGCTCGAGACTATTTTGGTATAAAAAATATTGGTGCACTTTTTTTTTATGAATCTGATCAAGTTTAAGATGGTTTGACATTGAGTAACTCTAGAAGTTGAGTTATTTTGAAATAACGGGAGTCATGCATGATTACATGAGTGCAATTCTTCGAGACATCATGCATGACTCTTTGATTGTTTGGTGCAAACACGGAACAAAAACACTAGTCCTTCGTGAGGTGGAAGAAAAGATTCTCTCTCTTTTTTTCTTCAATGGAACTGTCAATTATCTAATTAACCACCCTTGAAAAATCAAGGGACGAATAATCATGGTATCTCACAAAAACATGTTTGCTCTACCACCGGGGCAGATCTAGAAAATCTATCCACTGGTGTCACCAAGCTCTGATCTTGCTAAACCTATGAAATTTTTGCTATGATGCATATGTATTATACTAGTACTTGTACGATGCCATTGTTGTTGTAGGACGCTATTGATTGTACTGTAGATCTGGCCCGGCTACCCCGCCAGGTGTAAGAGATGTTTGGAGAAAAGAGCAAATAAAGACCAGTTTTCATGGTGCTCTAAACTATTCTTTTTATCTTTTTTGAGAAAGGGGTAGCAATGTTCCTCTTATTTGTACCTAAAAAACGAAAAGGACATGGCGCCCAATAACTGCAAGCGAGATATAAAAAGAAAACGAATGAAATTGGAAGGCTACTACTATGTTAGTAAGAAATAATAATAATAATAATAATAATAATAATAATAATAATAATAATAATAATAATAATAATAATAATAATAATAATAATAATAATAATAATAATAATAATAATAATAATAATAATAATAATAATAATAATAATAATACTACTTTCATGATAGTAACTACTACGACTTACGCAAAAACAATAGTAAAACCATAAATCAACGTGCGACTGACACATGGAGCTCACCGATGGAACTGATGACTATGCCGGCAGCGGCAAGAATCCACCCTTGAGCGCAACTGTAGTTGCAAGGAATCTAGCGGTTAATACAGCAATGGTCCCTGTGTATAGAGAGAGATGCGAGCAAGGCGATTCACAGCAAGCAGGACGATGTGAAAAGTAAGCAGGACATGGAGGAGAACGAAGCGGAGGAGAACGAAGCAGAGTCGTCTCAATCTCATCTGGACTAGCTGCTGCCACGCGTCCAGTTGAATGTGCAGTTTGCAATTGCGTTCCACTGCAGGCTCCGCGGACGGCTAGAACACCTATGGACAGACACACGCCCTGTTCGACTTGTTTGGTTTCACCAAAGTAAACCAAGTGGTAAACAAACGGTGTTTTTCTCTCATGGAAAAACCAAAGACCAGCCAGTACCCAAACCAAAGACCAACACCAACCAAACCAATAACGGCCCACAGACACAGACACAGACACAGACACAGGACAGGAGGAGAATTAATGGAGAGGAAAGTGTCAGGTCGGACCTGGTCGCGTCAACGGAGCTTACCAGAACAGCAGTGACCACACACGTACGTAAATGCATAATGGAGTGATCTGCCGTCCCCTGTAATCCAACGCCTAGGACGACAGCGGTTTTATTTTTGTTAATTTAATTAAGCTTCTCTTAGAGCATCTCTAAGAGCTACTTAAAACAACCGGTTTGTTCTTCTGTAAATAAAAAGAAAAACAAAAACAGCTCTCCAACGGTTTTGTATCTCAACTCCTAAATATAGATAAAATAAAGATTTCGTAGATCTATTCGTCAACTTCATAAAAAAAACATGTCTTTTCCACGCTCGCTATCGGTCCATGTGCCTCAGGCCATCTTGATGCCCCCCCGGTTTCCCCATGTCTAGTTTTAATTTTTAAAAGCTAACAACAGTAAACGTACTGGTGAAAGACAAAAAAAATCCTATTTATTTTGTTCACTTAGCATAGATTTATCAAGTGTATTTTAAGGAGTTTGTGGAGC